GGACTAATTAGAAGGCTGCATGAATCGATCACACAGATCCCTAGGGCACTTGCAGAATAGCATACATTGACTTTATGCTTTACTTTTATGTTTGGGTAAACTTATTAGTAACTTATAATTTAAAGTTAAACATTAATTCAGCCACACATTCATAAATACTACCCTATATTGTCAACACATTTTCATTGAACCTACTACTTTTCGCATTATGAGTTCCTTATAAGCAACTTATATGTAGTTCATAACCCAAAGACTTTTCTTTATTCGTTTTTGTTAATCTAGTAACTCCATTAAAAGGAGAACTTAATTAATCCCATCTCCTTTGGTAAGCCAGACATATATTCAAATATCAAATCTATCACAAAGCCATGAAAAAATCAAGAAAGGGGGAAAGGGTGCCTAAAACTTTCAACATGCTAGCAAAGCTATCAATTTTGACAAGAAAATGGATTATGATTATTATAAATTAAAAAAAAAAAAAAGGAAGTTGAAACGCAGATTATGATCAAGTTAATCTGAAAAAGATGAAGAAGAAGAAGAAGAAGAAGCAAATTTAACCAGAAAAAGGGGGACACATACTACATGTTTACAAGGAGACTACAAAATGAAGACTCCAAATTGATCGCGCGTGCGGATCTTCGTGAAACAAATCCGAATAGCAGTCCAAAGAATGTTTCTATTAACAAGAATACTAAATTTTAAACTGGCACACAAGCATAGAATCAACCAGAAAACAAATTATTTAGCAAAAATACACGCGTATACAGATATTCTTAAACATTAAGAAAGAAATAATGGTGGCAAATACCTGAAATTTCAAAAGAAAAAAAATGAAGACAAGTGATAATCTAGGATTGGGAAGAACACCGAGAATCACGCCAAGAATTCTAGACAGAGAAAGGAGAAACGTTGGAGTTAGTATCGCACGAAAGTCAAGAACCAAGAATATATATTTGTCAAGAGGGAAGTTGGAAACTGGTTAGAAATTTCAACTTGCAAAGAATAGTCAAAACTCATTAACTCAACATTTAGATATTATTTTATTCATTATTCATATTCATGCTTTTCTTTATTCGAAAAAGGGAAAATTGCAGCAGAAGTTTCAAACTTTTAAAACATTTACAGACTTTTCTCAAATCTTTGATTTGTAATAGCCGTCACCCTTAACTTTTACATTTGTTGCAGTGAAGGCCCTTTTGGACGGAAACCATCCAAATGCCCGTTAGTTGACCGCCCAAACAAAAAATTGACCACTTTTAATCAAAATAAAGGGGGGTCAAATCATCCAAACACTTAAAATACATTTTCATGCCCTTTTTTACTTGTTCGGTTCCCTCCAAATAAAGAATACAAGTACAAACATAATAAATTGTCTATCAGTTGTCAGTTTCTCACTCTTTATCAACATCCTGAACCGAACGTAGAAGTAATGGAAATGCCAGAGTGCAATTGCGGAACTCGTGCCAAGATGAAGACATCGTGGACTAACTTGAACCCAGGTAGAGGATTTCTTACCTGTCCACGAGGTATGGATCTACAAGGCTATACGTTCTTTCTTTGGTGGGATCTCCCAATGTGTCAGATATCAAGGGAGCTGATACCTGGTCTTCTGAGGTCGAGACGAAAGATGGAAGATGAAATTAGGCAACTCTATTCGAATGGAGGTGGGGTATGGAAGATTTGGTTTTGTGGGTTTGTATGTGGAATGTTTATGAAGTGGATCTGCAGTTAAATCTTTGTGGGGGGTTTTTTACCTGGATCTGTAATCATCATTTCTTCATGGTGTAACCTACTTCTTCCCATACGTTAATGAAGGCTTAAACGCAGTTGCAATTTTGTAGTGTTCTGTACATGTTCACTATTAACATTGACCAATTTTGTTGTCGAATAAATATGCAAATATTAACACCCAAACGTTTGGCAAATCTTGCAGGGAAAGCCCCAAATGTTAGGTATATAGTGTAGATAACGCCCCCAACATTTCGCACGTTGTGGATTTTTGGTCCCATACCTTTGAAAAAATGGTGAAAAATGCCCATTTTCTATTTAACTGCTTACAGTAAATACCCCATCACTTTAACAACAGTTTCCAGTACAAAATTAACAACAGCTTCAAGTGTAGATGCCACATAAAAATCATTTTATATTGGTAGCACACATTAATTTACGAAACTTCAACCCTCACAATGAAGAGTATTTTAATACTTCCCAAAATATCAAAATTCCTTAATTCATTCCTGTATACATAAAAACCTGTATACATTGGTAGCACATAAAAACCTATATACATTGGTAGCACATATATTGTCATGGTACCATTCCCAAAACATCAAAATCCATAATTCATTCCAAAAAGTTTAATTACATTTCTACATCCAATGACATCTAGACTACACTGCTTTGAACTTCTTTCCCTTCTACTTCTGTGACTGTGATTGTGGTGCATTTTTCTTTGAGGTAGCTGTAGCTCTCTCTCTTTTCCGCTTCTGTGACTGTGGTGCGTCAGTGGGCTACGCCTGTGCAATGCATGTTCTCTTATTGTGTCCAGCTTCTCCACACCTTCTACACGTCATTTGTATGCCTATTCGAGTCATTTTAACTCTAGCGGGTGGTTCGGTCTGAGATCTTTTTCTGAGCTTTTTAAGCCTGCCTGCCTGCTTCTTCTTCACTGGTGGTTTCAATGGGTGTTTCCCTAATTCAGGCCAAAGTTCGGACCCTGGCATTAGCTGAATCACGGGGTTGTATGCCATCAGATATCTCTCATTCTTGTAATATTCATCTACAAATTCATCTATTTCTATTCTCCTTGATAGCATACCAGAAACGGCATGTGCACAGGGAATTCCAGTCAGTTGCCATTTCCTTCATGCACATTCTTTTGTCACCAAATTCACACTCCATCTCAAACCATCTGTGTTGCGAACTTCAAATTTTTTATTACCTGCATAATCTGCCCTCATAAACCTCGTGTCTGCTTTAGCCTTCTTAATTATCCCTACAATTTTTGGACCATATGCACGATCCCACCTTTGATCTGCCTCCTTCTTTGCAGCCATCCGTGTCATTTGTTAATGCCTTATCTTATCCAACATTGTGATTATAGGCTTCTCCCTAACTACAACGATGGAGGCATTAAAAGCTTCGCACAAGTTATTCAACAAGATATCGCACTTCGTATGCTCCTGGAAATGGGATCTCGTCCATTGAGCTGTAGGCTTCTCCCTAAACAAACAGAAGGCTTCTTCATTCACCGTTTTCATCTCATTCATAACTGTATTCCACTCTGGTCCAGTTGCAGACTTGGCTGCAGCCCAGAACAAATTCTTCAAAGTTAGCCCTTTATATTTGAGAGTGAAATTGCTGTACAAATGTCTGGCGCAGCACTTGTGTTCTGCACCTTCACAACACTGATTTAAGGCTTCAATCAATCCTTTTTGCTTGTTAGATATGAAAGTCCAAGCCCTACTATTATACATTTCTATATCCACCACCAAAAGTTCTATAAACCAAGTCCAGTTGGCTCTATTCTCTGCATCCACGACTGCCTAAGCAACTAGGAACATACAATTCTCACCGTCAATCCCCACCGCTGCCAATAATTGACCCCCATGTGTAGTCTTCAGAAAACACCTATCAAGTCCTATCACAGGCCTATAACCAGCCTTGAAACCTTCTTTACATGCCCCCAAGCATACATACATTCTCTTGAACACACCTCATGTTCCCTCAACCTGCACAGTATTTTCAGGGTTAGTTTTCTTCAACTCTTCCCCATAGTCCCAAAGAATCTTGTATTGTTCCTCAACAAGTCCAGTCACAACCGCTGCACATTTTGCTCTTGTTCTATAATATTGATATTTCGATATTTCATACATACAGTCATCCTTCACTGTTTCCATGAAACTGTTCATGGATAACTTCGGTTCCGACCTGAACTTACATATGTATTTCTTGGCCAAAAAACCTGCATGGACCTTACTGTTTTGCTAGACCAACGTGCAGCTATGTTCGTCCCAGAACGTGTTGATCCTTAAGCTGCAGTCTTGCTGTTTGTAGGCATACAATTGTTATGGACAATTCTCTTGACATCTTACTCTTATCCTATGTGGTTCGTTCTTCACATATCGCAGTTCTCTTGCATTTTTCACAGAGTATTGTACAATAGCTGCTCTAAAAAATTTTGCGTTCTCAAACTTCATACATGTATAGCGCAGCAGAACATTTTAAACATGTTAGTATATGTGAATAACAGAAACCCAAATATACAATAAATGAGTATCTGGACCCCAAACCTTTGAAATATGAGCATCTGGGGCCCCAAACATATGTTAATTAAGAGTTTTGGGGCCTCCAAATGTTTTAAAAATAAGCATTAGGGGCCCCAAATCTATGACACATAAACGTTTGAGGCCCCCAAACAGGTGTGCAGTTCACTAACCAATCTGGAATTTAGGGTCCTTCATGTCAGTTGAAGGGTTAAACCAAACTTCCTTTCTGCTGTTACTTGTGGCACCCGCTTCATCACCACTTAACATACTTCTCAGGTCATCCGAGTCTTCGTAGTCTGAACCACTATTTACTGCATTCACATTTACATTTTGCTTATTAGGTCCTTCATTGCTTACATTCCCCAACCCAATGTCTACTCCCTCACTCAATCTGAAAAATGTGTCTTCGCCTTGGTCGTCCTCTTCCACATCCTCCTGTTCGTATTCAGAATTAGAGAAATATTCCAGGCCAATATCATTATTCTCTTCTTCCACCTCTGATTCACCACCAGAAGACCCAGTGCCAGTATTCTGAGCATTAATGGCTTCTTCAACAGAGGGTTCAACAGGTGCATTTTCAAGATCTTCCAATCTCGTTGCACCCTCGGACGTGGGCTGCTCGAACTGTGTGTCAAGAGGATCTTCCAATCCCGTTGCACCTTCAAATGTGGGCTGCTCGAACTGTTTGTCAACAAGATCATTTGCAACTTCTACTCCTGCTTCATTTTCAACTGAACATGGTATATCAGAGGTTGACGTCTCCCATATTTACTCCACCGACTGATCATTTGCACCTACCTGTGCCTCCACTACGTCCACATTGTCCACTACACTGTCTCCCCTGCTATCCACACCATCTAACTAACGCAACTGATCCCCTTCAAATTCATCAACCATGTAACAATCATCACCCTTTACAGTGTCATTGAAAACCTCAACTGCAAATGCAGGTTTCTGTCCAACCTCCGTATCCTCATTATTGACACACACACTCTCTAAAATCTCACCAGTTTCCATATCAGTCACTACACATCTAGTTGGTATATTCTCATCCCACGATAATTCCAACACTGCGGTTTGTATCGGCAAACAGTACATATCTGCATCTCTTGCAGGACCAACCTATTTTACAACATTCATGAAGTCTGCATCAGTAACTAACCAAAATCACCCCTCTGACCATCTTTTCTTTTCAACCCTATAGATGTATCTCATACGCTTTTTGTAACCCAGCATCTTCATTGCATTGTCTAACAGAAATCGGTTGAATAAATCTGGATCCACATAGTCGAATAGCTGATCTTACCATGTTCATACATGTAATTTCGCATCTTACTGAAATTCATCCCACCATGGTTCAGGCGGACTATGAAATAGGTAGAGTTCTCTCCTAAAAAGGGGAAACATTACACAAGGCTAATCAGAACAAATATGGATATCACAATAGACGTTCCAACATACTCATTACAACATTTTGTCCGTATAGTCCATTTCATGCAATTTTCAAAAAATCCTACATACTGCGTTCACCACAAACAACGAAAACACAAAATCGATTACAAACAAGGGGCTACAGTACTTCTTTGTAACAATATCAACATTGAGGTATATGGGTTTCTCAAAAATACTACGTTTTCAAGATTTTTACTCTCTATAACTGTCAACGACAACACCTGCAAAAACGTACCATATACCGATTTTTGTAGAGATCCCCTTGGATGGCACGCACATCCAACATATCCGTCGTCGACTTCTCCAACTTCAGGTGAGTTCATTGTCCCTTTCGTCACAAATCTTTCTTCTCTTGTTCCCGCTAGTCGTGCACCAGAAATTCGAAAAACAAGTAAAAAGGAAGATGAAATGGTATTTCAAGTGTTTGGACGATTTTACCCTCCTCTATTTTGGTTAAAAGTTGTCAATTTTTTATTTGGGCAGTCAATTGACGGGCGTTTGGACGGTTTCCGTCCAAAAGTGCCTTCACTGCAACGAATGTAAAGGTTAGGGGTGACAACTGCCACAAATCAAAGGTTTGGGGAAAGTCTGCAAGTGTTTTAAAGGTTTGGGGCTTCTGCTGGAATTTTCCCTTTGAAAAATTCTACTTGTACATGATTATTGCACATAATGGTATTCATAATGAGATGTGGCAATCATTCGATTGTTGATGTGAGTTTGAATTAAGAATTGGATCCAGTGCCACGTGTAATTATGGACACCATTATGTAAATAATTATGTACATGCAACACTTTTCTATTTATTTTTCAATAATTCCTCTCAAACACGGCCCCGTTTGTCCAGATGCACCCTACCGAAACAGGGCCAACGTAGCAAAGTTCTTTATTTTTTTTATCATATTATTATTTTAATAACGAAAAAATATTTTAAATGTAAATAATAAAATTGACTGTTTGATAAAATCAATCTTGGCCCTTTATTTGAGCTTGGCTCTGATTGACCAGCCCAATCTGAAAAGTTCTTAAAATTCGATTATTTTGTAAAATCAATCTTAAAATTCTATCTTAAAAGATAAAGAACGCATATTTTGCTTCGTTATTTATGTATTAAAATTGTGAACCTTTCAGTATTTATATTAAATTTTCTTTCTCAAATCTAGCTTTTCACCTTTTCTGGTATTTTTTGTCTAGTACTTTTTGATATGTATGAGAAAAGAAATCTTCCTCTAGAAAGGACATTCTGTCTATTTTTTTTGAATAATGCTATTCGAACAGATTCCTTTGCACAGATGTTGAACAGGTAATAAAAAATTAATAATGGACACATCAATGAACAGTAGAAATTGTTTGAAAAATGGGACAAATTTGGCAGACCACTGGTACAACCTTTCCTCCCCCAAATTGGAAGTCAGTATTTTCCCTCCTCATTTTCCCTCGTTCCCCTCTCTCTCGGGCCTTCATTCCCGCCGGCCAGTTCTTCAAATCCGGTAGCACCTCCGAACAACATGTCTTCACCGACACCGTTGAACCCAGGTGACCTACTGTTAAATGTCATCTTCAAAATTTTCCAATTCAACATATTTAATTTGTTGTTTGCAAAGCATGGAA